GAGAGAATTCAACGCCGTGCTATACGCATCTGCCTTCGGATTCCCCTCTTTGCACCAGTTCATCACTTCAACAAGTCCTACTAGCATGGGACAAGTCACATCCACCACCAAACCTCCCCACCACACCTGCAACAACCACATCTTGCACCACAACGTCAACCCCAACCATACACCCTTTGACAGACAAGGACCTACTCCATCGGACACGCACGCACAAACAGGCACCGAGGTTCCCCCATCAACAGTGTCCTCACCCTCTACAACTATCTCCTTATCGACATCACACCCCAACATCGTAGAAATTTTTTCCGAAACAATGCATCCAGTCTTCTTTTGAGCAGTACCTGTTCCTGCTCCGCACATCCCCCTGGTTTCTGATATCTCGAAAGTGTATTTAGCTATCTCGATCCGCACCCCTGCTAACGTTATTGCCCCTGCTTGTGTTTTCATGATCCATTGCTTCTTGCCGGCACGCGCCTGTGCTTCCCCAGGTAATTTCCATCTAGCTGTTTCTGGCTAGTATCAGTTCTATCACACTTATCAATCGTCCTTATTGGCGTTACACCATCGTGGAATAAAAGAATAATACCGGTAATAATAACTAATTCACTGGTTTCAGGGAAAGACACAAACGGGAAAAGTCTGAAGAAAAAATTTGACTGTCACCACCAGGACTCGAACTAGGGACCCTCGCTTGTAGCTAGCGATGCTCTAACCACTGAGCTATGGAGTATGGTGCAGTCGTCATCCCAGCAGAGACTGTTCAACATTTTCTTCAGACTTCGTCACACTTCCTGTTAATCCACACAATATTAATAATAATGATAGTACCGGTATTTGTAGTATTTTGTACATTGTACTGCCATAACACATGTCAGTATTCGTACTGCCCGTGGTGCTGACCGGAAATACATGTATGTCAGGCCAAAAGGTACTAGGTGACGAAACTCGAAAGGCAAACTGTCTTCTGGAATTATTTGCTCCGTGACCGTATTTGGGTGTTCTGTAGGAGTTCGGAGTAAGTTGTTTGCTCAGCCGCTAGCGCTAGCCGGGTCTTGTTCTTGTTTGCAACTGGCACAGCATGAAGTGTACCAGCCACATCGCTCAACGACGACGATTGCATGGTGCACAGATACACAGTCGACTGAAACAAAACAGGGAGTCGTCAAATACAGACGACTGTCACGACTCCCTGTTTCAAAACAAATGAGTGACTATTATTGTTATGGTGCTGCAGTCTACTTTGTAGTAAAATAATTTGTTATGACTGTGTTGGGCATGAATCGGCTAATTTAGTTAGTTATGCACCACACAGTGCTAAGTTGCCCTTTCCCAAAGATCATGCGGCTCGCCACTTTTTTCGCCACTTTTTGTTGTTTTGGAAGAAATCGCAACTTTCGCAACTTTCTTCATTTTCACAAACTACTTCGCAACTGTTTGCAGAGAAGCACCTTGGCGGAGGCCATTGAAGTGTCCGTGATGCTCCGCTTCAACAAGAAGCGCTGAAACATTGCATAAAATCATCATGACAAGTGTACTTCTCATGTGGCAGCACTGAGCATGCCGCTCTGAATGCTGTGCAAAGGCTCAACAAAAATGGACAAGGACTCATCCCAAGTCTGTTCATTATCCTAAACATGTTTCACGCTGTCAACATTATGCATTCATGTACTTCAAAGTACGATTAACTTTACTCAAGCAGTTGTGCTGCGCCAGTGTGTTCCATCATCCAGTTCCGCTCCTTTATTGTTTTTTTTGGCATCATTATAATTTATATACAAGAACTCGCTCATTTTGAGTTGCGCCGGATATTAGCAGCTTTTTTTGAAAATATGGATGCGATTTCAGCAACTTTCACTTGTTTTGGCATGGTTGGGAAAAGCATAAGTACTATTAAAAGTAGTTGCGAAATATGTTGGCATCTTTGGGAAAGGGCTAGTGCTGAGGCAAGTACAGTGTACTACATATACAGTGCAGGTACAGGTACATGTACATGTTACATGACGTACCAGTAATGGTACATGTGAATACCACACTCCACAGCGAATAGCAGTCGATACAAACATCATCTCGCATGGCATGGCAGCAATGTACAATGATTGTACAAGTAGCAAAGCACTTGACGTCCGGACCATGCTCCGCTCGCTGCGAAAAGTGTATCGCCTTTAAAGGCGGATCTTTATGGACAACTACACCTCCCACAGTTATCTTGGCTATGCAACTAATACAAACACATTTTTTTGTGTGGCCGAGACATGTCGAAGGCGTTCTGTTCACACCATCTAAAAGACTAAAATAGTTACATGCAGTATGGCGTCGATTCATTTCCCAAGTCTTACAAAACATACATGTACTCCACGGCATGACCACAAGATGAATGCACAACAACGTTAGCTATCAAGCGAGGCCGGAGCGAGTGAATCGACCGTTCAACTACAGGGAAGACGATCCGATCCGAACCATTGATTTTCGTTGTTCCGAATTGAAGTGTTTAGAACTACAACTAGTAGTACAAAGTTATGCAGTGTTGAATATCTCCAGCCCGGGTGTCTGAACCTCTTGTGGATTCAACGCAACGGCTGAGATTGAGAGGCACGAACTCCGAATGCAATAACACCTTAAGTGTACATGTAGGTAGTTCAGTAATTATTAGGATGGTGGTGACATAACAGCTCAGTTTCACCAACACACCGCGATTAACTTTCACCATTACCCAATCCTCGTGGTTGGAGGTCGTACAGAGACTTTCAGCGAAGGCAGTCTGGACAACAATTACTCAGCAGTTGCCAAATTTAATTTTTATAATACAGAATTTACAGTTGATAAATATGGTGGTAAAGAGACTAAAGACACACCCGGCAATATGGCGGTAAACAGAATTTACAGTTGCAATATCACTTTTTATGCGGCTTGTTACTACTGCACCTCTTGTTTGAGCTCAAAACACACCTGGTTTTCCCCGGTCTGGACTCTGGATCTCCATGTTTAGTAGACTGACTACGGACATGTAAATGATTGTGTAACGATAGCGGGTTGAAGCACAGCAGTGGAAAGAAACACTCCCCGGCGTATCGGACAGCCCGACTGACTACAGTACAGTCTACAGTACTAGTAGATCTACTAGGATCTCGGCTTATTGTTATGTACAGTATAGTGTAATACGATCTAGTTATTGAACAGGGACATGTACCGTAAAGTACCGTTGATCCGCCCCCTCTCTAATTCCCGCCCCCTGTCGATTTTCTCCTTGTGAAGCGACTTCGCCGTATACAACGACATACGATGTTGAACCGACGCATGCACTGCTGTACACAATACTTGCCAATCCAGGATCAAAATGTGCACAATCCAGCACATTGAGTCTGATCCTCTACGTTGTTGTACATCGTACTGCACTTGACAGCCTTGATCTAATTCCCGCCCCCTGCCGAAAATCCAGCTGGGAAGCGACATGGCGTGGGGGCGGATCAACGGTACTTTACGGTACATGTAGCTACTGTGTAACACATTTTACTATAAAAAAATACAATAATACAGTCATGTACATGTACATGGAGTTGAAAGTTACACCCACATGTGTGTGTAGCTACATTTTGCCATATCATCAAGTCATAATAGCTGATTAGTTAGTGTGGTTAGCAGCAGCAGCAGCACTGATAAGAATTCAGATGCCAAGCTCTGAGCTCTGAGCTACAGCTTGCAGCTTCACTTTAGTTTAGTTCTCAGAAAATTGCTGTACTGTGTTTGCATACGACAGAATGACTGTAAAGTGTAAGTTACTGTAACTGTAAGGCGTAAGATAAAACTCACTACATGTACATCATTGTAGATCCCTGGCTGCCTCTGAACTCACTACATCATTGTAGATCCCTGGCTGCCTCTGAACTCACTACATCATTGTAGATCTCTGGCTGCCTCTGAACTCTGCACCGTGACTGTCTGTTGCAAAATGTTGGCAACATCGTGGCGGTATTAACAGCTAGCTCACTTCAGTTGCTCATCGATTCCAGGGAAAGAAGCTTGAAGCTTGCTGACTCACCTGTAAGTGTTTGGATCACAGGAGATAATGCAGTTTTGAAAAGCATTTGGCAGGCCGGAGTCAGATTTTGCCCAGGAATATCGAGATAGGGCCATGCTGATGCGCCAAACAACTCTAGTCACTTCACGTCCACTTGCCAGTTGAAGTGGCCTTCATTGCTTGGCGTATAGAAACCCAGACGTCTTGAAGCAAGCAATGAAACCTGAAAGCATAGTTGCCAGTTACATCCTGCCTAGTGCCTGGTACAGCAGGACGCGTCAGGGCCGATACGTGTTGGGCACTTCATCATCAGCAGAGCTAATAGAGGATCCCAGAGGAGTTGGGAGATAGGCCACTTAGGCAATAAGCTATAGGGGAATCTGTGTGGAATGTTACGGCCGGAGGCACTGATACTAGTGATAGTGATGTCAAAAACCTGCGATCCGAGGACGAGCGGGTCTTCCGGCTAGAGTACTTCCAATTTCCCGCGAGTTTTCAGCGATTTTGAGTTGAAGTTGGGAGTAGGGGGGCCGCAGCACTGTACATACATGTGTATGCACGGCATGAATAGTATCGAGCCCGGGTATTGTCTGTGCCCGCTGCCCGGCACTGCATACATAGCATTGTCAGACTGCGCTTTCGGATGAATGCTGGTTCCGAATTCCCGGGACCGGACGTGGTTGAAGGATATGCACGTGTTTCGTTCTGGAAGCAGGTGGCCAGGCTGGTGCGCATAGTGAAAGGTGTGCACGCTAGTAAGTAATACTAATAGTTCGTCGGATAGGATGTTATGCTGGTGGGACGGACTAGTGTAGTACAGGCGTGCGGGGTTTCGGTCTTATCTGTGTGGATGTAGATCTACTTGTTCGAAGCGTTCGTGTCCCTGCGCTGCCGTGGCGAGCACACTGTTTAGTTCGGCGCATTCCGTTTTAGTGAGATCTTGCAGATCAGACTCAGAGTCTACACAAGCATGAAGCAGCCTGTAGTCTTTACAGTTGCCTACTGCATACAGGGAGCTTGCAGTATCGGGTAGGTACATATCTACTGGCTGCGGACGTACCGGATCGTGAGGTCGAGGAGAGATCAGAGCGTGAAAAAGGACGCATAGTTCGAACAGTTCTCCTTGTTGCCGTTGGACGCTGGAGCGTGACGTGTTGAGACTGCTGTTCTCTCACCATTCTGTCGGCAACCGGTATTTTCATACCGACCACCTCAGGTAGGACCTGTCGTGCGACAAGAAGTGCTGCTCTTCTCCACTCTCTAGCTTGATCTCGGTAAGCTATTCGGTATTCCCAGTAAACTGGAGTGCTCATCGCCTTGTCCCTTGGACTCGCGTCCAATCTTCTTCCGCTCGTGTTCGCACAGAGAACCGCTGTGTCTGACGAGAAGTGTTCCCAGCTCTCTCGAATCAAGTCAGTTTGAGCGCCGTGGACCTTCCCACGCAAGGTAAGACTATCTTATGTGGACAGATTCAGAGCTGGCTGAGGATCTGCTGAGTGTGTGTCGCGTTCAACCTTGATTTGTTGGTAGCTAGGTGGCTGGTTTGCTGGCCAAGAATGAGTGGAACGGACATGCTTATCCAGACTCCAGACTCCTCACCTTACAGTACACTGCATATAACTGTGTTTCTCGCTTGTCGAGCTAAAGGCCTAAACCGGTGTGGACGCCTTGGGTCCGGTGTTGTCCATGATTGATACCATGGATAAAAAGGACTCGCCCAAATATGCCTTCCGCAGGACTACCACCGTTTCCGCTCGACATGGAGCATGCCATTTTCATCGTTTCCTTTTCTACTCTTCATAGACATGATAAACACTGCTGTTTGCATTGCCTCTCTCACTGACCAGTGTCACTAACATCGTACCGAACACCGAGTTTTTCATAAGTATTACTTTTGCTGAAAGGTTCTGCGGAGCAGGGGACACGCAGAGAGAGGAATGGCAAACAATCAAGTGCGTCTATCGTCCGTGCCCCGGGTGCCGGAAACTGACTCGGCGAGGTGATGGATTCGCATACCACGCACTGTCATTGACCGAAAGAGATGTCTCCTTTGTTCCAAGTAGTTCGAGGCACGAAGGTAGCTGATGTACTTTACCAAAGGAACAGTTGACTTGGGACGACCTGTTTTCCAGATCAGACGGCGATCCGATCGCTACTCTGTCTGTAGTGGAAGTCATTGCTCATTTTGCTGCCTATGGTCCAGTATGGACCATGGTTCCACAGTAATGACTATGTAGACTGAGTCTGTGCGTGTGTTGAAATAATTATAGTCACGCGCATGAAGAAAAGAAAAGGTGATGCCACTCCGAACAACAATTAGTTGCCCGAAATCCGGCGACGAGAAGGGCCGTGGGTAGCCAAGTTGCAAGCACGCTGTTTGAATCGAAAATCGATCGATTGAAAAGGAAATAAGAACGAGAGCGCACTGCCAAGCTAGCACTTTGAGAGGAAATAAGAAGGAGAGCGCACTGCCAAGCTAGCACTTTGAGTTTGAGCACATCACTCACTGTATTGGTTGATGGTTTCATCGCGCTGCGCTCCGCACACGCTTCTGAACGAAGACTGCGAGGCAGAACTTACCGTTGCCAGAAGCTCATGGAGAAGCCGCTCGGATTGTGGCACTGGTGGTGCTGATGAGGCGCAGCCAGTGTGGACCGGATTCTGTTCGTTCCGTCTTCCCACTTCAACTGCTTGAGGTCCCGGCCCAGTACAGTGTCATGGTTTGTTACTGGTAGATCCACTCTCTTTCCCATGCTCTTGTTGCTATTAGTATTATGCGGTCAGATGATGATGAGTGGCTGTGTAACAAGGCCCAATGACTTAGGTTACAGCATCAGAATGTTGAGCACTCAGACTGAGGTATTCTAGCGCTATCCGGAGTATGGTTATCACTGTGATGAGCTGGCCTTACATAATTGTAATAAAAACCTTCACTTCAGACCTTCACAGCAGACATAGTCTCTCTCACTGTCTGAACCCGGCAAAATCACACTACACTACACTACTGCTTGATTGTACAGAATTCTTTGCCTCTTTTCTCAAGTATATCGATGCATTCCAATTTCATGCAGCAAGCTAGCACACAATGATTATGAAATTGAAATTATTCAGTTGGTTGAGGGGAATCCGACGCGGCGGAAATAAATATTTTTAAACGAAAATTCCAAAATTTGTAATCTCTCCACACATACCCTCCCTCGCCCTAAACGGATGGATATGTATGCTGGACAATGTGCTGATCTTTCTCTGGAGAAGATCGATGTGTGGTTTTCAGCTCGCTAAGAAGCACTCGAACCCCTCCTCCCATTTCCGAAGATATCAGAGTTATGTTTTGAAAACGATATCATTATTTACATACGACCCCTTGCTGGACATGTGCTGTGAGCACAGTCCGAACACCGAACAATTCCACTGTGCTTTGCCTGAACAGCTGAAGAATTGTTTTGGAAGTTGGTATGAAACCGCCAATTGTAGTGCAGGTAATTGTAAGCAATGAGTATTGCATTGCCCTGGTTTGAGTCCTGGTGGTGACATGGTCATTTTTTCTTCAGACTTTCCAGTTTGCATCTTTCCCTCTAACCAGTGGATACGATGATTGCATGTACATATCTGTCTGTATGTCAATACCTGTCTGTATATTATCTGTATGTATAGCTGCAATGCCAGTCGTACAGTGCACGTGTGCGGCCCACATGCACTCTCTGAAATAGTAACTAATTTGTTGCGACAAGTGTGAAATTGCTCTCAATCGCACATGATCATCCCATTGCAGCATACCTCCCCACGACTGATTGTTTCAGATCTTGTCGCGCACGACACTATGAGGTGGCCTTACTCTGGTACACAGGTCCACTTTCCAGTAATAGTTTGTGTACGTCAGTGACATTATTCAGGTAGATGTATGCGCAGACAGGGGACTCAATGGAATAGTTGGAGCAGCATCTGACCACAAGCTGTGGTAATGCGTAGCACAATTTGCCTGGTTGATGCCTGGAGTAAAGGGAATTGTTCGGCTCATCAAATCTCTGTAAAGTACCGTAGTGTGGAAGAACACGCTCTGTCTGACGATTGCTAGTGCGTGGCAGTCAGAGTTGCAGCCTGTCCAGATCATTTGCCCTTCTCTCTGTCTAGAAAAGGACTGAATGACTATGCTACGCCGGGCCATAATGACGCTGACTAATATCTGGCGTTGTACATGTGTATAAGCTCAATCATTGCTCTGGGTCTGTCCAAATGTGTTCACATTATCCGTAGCTAAACGCCAGTCTCTTCTACTCCACTCTTTCACAGCATGTGTATTTCTTATCATTTCGAATCTGATTGCCGCAACTCTTTCCGACTGAGAGTTTCAGTGGTCACACTTCAAATGGAGGCGGAAAACAGCTGATTTGAATGAGAACCTATGGGGATGCACTGTAACTGTTAATTAACATGCTAGACTGATCCTAAGCTGACACACTGACAGGAGATAACTGAGTTCTAAATGTCACTCTGTCTGCCAGCCTGCATCAAGCAGTGCATGTGCATGTACATTGTGCAACACTGCGGAATACTGGCAAGGAGTCCAGGACAGTTCCAAATAATTAATTCCCATCATGGCGATATAGAAAGAGAAGAATAATTATTGTTGGCTAGGCAAGTGTGGAACTGTGCAGTGTACTAGACAATACCGTATAGTATAACAATGTAGTAACTAATTACTTTCAATCAGTGTGATGCTCTCTCTCTCTGGGCAGAACCAGTGACATAATGACATTCCACACACAAGTGATCCTCAAGTAGGGTAGTGTGCTGCTGGGGCAAGCCGGCAGGGCCAAAAATGCTCTTGCTAGTTGAGGCAGCCAAGCTGAGTCTACAGTCTGTACTCAGTCTAGTACTAGTCACACAGTAGTTCAGAGCTGGCCAAGGATCAGGAGAGAGTGCCAGGTCACAGTGATACAATGCCGTCATGGAATTCATGCCACACTGCATTGTAGTGTTAGGACTGCACTGCCACGGGTTGCATTTGTGCCAGGGATAATTATTTTGTAACTGTACTCACCGCTTCTGGCTTCGCCCTGACTTTAATACTTGATGTTATGTGTCACTAGCAGTCCTAGTAGGCTTGTCGGGGCAGTGGGCACCCAGATTGATTATATACTAGTACTCTTGTTTGTAGTGAACCTTTCCTCGTGTTTCTGCATTGCTATAGGATGGTAAAATCATCTAAAAGTAAAGCAAGAAAGGAAATAGGATGAAGGCAATTGCACTACGTCCTGTGCAAGGGTATACTGTGTCCATGAGTATGTGTAGCCAAACTTCCATGCTCACGTCTAGCTACGGGGTAGCTCATGGACGGCTTGAAATCAGTTTGAACATACTGCATGTTGAGTGGTTAAGTTAGCTCAGGCTCAGTGTCACATACAGACTCAGTGTAGCCTACATGGTGGCGGTGGTGGGGGATCCATGGTGCACGCCTGCACGGGTACCGTGAGTAGCAATGACTACTAGTAAGTCCAGTTATATTAGTGGAGCCAAATCCAGTGCGGTTCTGCAGCATGCAGCCGGCCCTCCGTCCTGCACATGTCAGAACTGAGGAAGTGACCACTTGAACTTACTTGCCTTTGAGTATGCCATTCACTCACACCTAAATAAACTGATGTGGATTTCACAATCACAGTGTTGCCACATCATTATAGCCAAATATCAGTAGACTGAAAAAAATAAAATGCATCATCCGGGGGCTTCGCCCCCGGACCCCCCCTCTCATAGTAACCCTAATATATCGTAGAATCCAGCGAATAAACCCACCCACGCATAAGCCTAGGCCAAGTTAGAACATCGCCAAGCTTCGTTGTACAAACCCACCAGCGGGATTCTACAGTGCACACGATTTCCCCCAGACAGCTGATGTTTGTATTGTAGGAGAGAGCTATGGAAACACTCGTAATGAGCAGTAAAAGCCAAAATTCTGGACCATGACTTCTAAACCAAGCACAAAGGTCAAGTTTGGACACTTTCACGGCTGTTGTCGGCAGGAGACGGTCAATTGTCGGCAGGTCGTGACAGGCCCCAAAAATCGGCAGGCTACTGACATGTCGGCAGGTGTGGCAACACAGCAATCAGGAACTGGAGAAGCAGAGCATGTGGACATTCATGCAATGAAGTATGTGGTATATTTACAATGAGTGACAGGATACCGGTATGGGGATGATTTCCCATCTCAGTGGAATCTGAGCCGTACTTCATCACTCTGGCCTCATCTTGACAATAACAATAATTCGATCCATGATCAATGATGTGGGACACTGATACCAGGTTATATGGAATTGAATGAATGGCTTTGAGAATTTAATTTGTACGCTGTGTACATTTGGCACTTCATGGTTTCATCAAGAAATTTTGCTCATCAGGAGAAGAGTAAGCAGGGAATGTCTTCAATCAACTGTCGATTTATGACTGAAGCAGATCTTCTAAAACACACACACACACACACACACACACACACATACTAGTGCTATGCGACATGCATTCATGCCTTGTTATCACCGGGTCGGATCATGCTGAGTCCAGTGAAGAAATACAGGAGCATTTACTTGGAGGCAACCGCCTCCAGACCAGACACCTTCCGGAGGGTGTTGCTGTCCTCCACATTGATTATTTTGTTTTGATATTTTTTTTATCTACTTTTACCTTTTCAGCACTTCCCGCACAAGTACTTGCCTGTCCCCCAGTACATGGGATATTGGCATTGTGTTCGAGTACTTGCCAGTACTTGCCAGTACTTGACCATGCGTAGTAGAGGTCCTGTTCTGATTTACAACAACAACGAGAGGTCCTGTTCTGATATACAACAACAACGAGAGGTCCTGTTCTGATATACAACAACAACACTCACGAGTCAAAGAAGACGGTGGTGACTGTGATGACTGTGTCTCTTTTGGAGAACCTCCAAACCTCCGCCTCAGTCTTGGTGTGTCTGAAATATTTCCACCAATCATAGCCAGCGATCGCGTACGTGCATTGAAAATCAACGTGTTTTTCCGAATCGACCTTTTTTCCAGCATCACTTTTCAACGAGGACGAAACAAAGTCAGCCAAACGAAGCCTAGACTGAGGAGGAGAATTATCCTCTCCACTCAGGTCACCGTCACGATACTGACACACATGTAGGTACAAAACGAAACAACTAAAAAGTCCACAAGAAAACTGTACGCCCACCTCCGCATTGACTTTGTCTGAGAATTGTCTATTTCATTCAATATGTACCCCCCCCCCCCCCCCCCCCAAACGGACGTCTTCTCTTCACTTTCAAACCGGAAACAAGACACACCAATGTTCCTTTTCAGCTGCTCCACGAGCGCATGTAATGCACACCAAGGGCCGCAGAGTAGCGCCATCCATTCCGGCCAGACGGCTAAACTGCAAGTGAGGCTGCATGCCTGAGTACATGGGTACACACAGTAAATAGTCAATCTCAGCGTTTCTGCTCTAAACAGCAACTAACTTCGACTAGCTACAAAGATTACATCAAAGGATCAAACAACAACCATTTTCTTCAGTTTTTTTGGCAGAAGACTGCTCCTTGAGCTTGGCCCAGGCCAAATAATCACAACTCAGAGGAGTACAGAAATTAAAATTCCCAGGTGTCCTCGATTGCTGGCCATTGGCTCTTCAAACATGTATGTGTCTGTGTGTCTGTGTGTCTGTGTGTCTGTGTGTCTGTGTGTGTCTGTGTGTGTGCCTATGTGTGTATGTGTCTGTGTAAGTCTGTGCATGTATGTGCATGTATGTGTATGTCTGTGTGTGTATCTATGTTTATGTTATCCAGTGGGTGGCGCTAGCATCATGCAGCCCACGTCCATCATCCTCCTCGGCCTATGTGCAGTGGGCGCACAGGCATTCTTGGCCAGCAACATTACTGAGAATGTTGAACCCAATGGAACATGTGAGTGCTATCACTACTTCAGCTGTGCAGCCCTCACCACCAGCCTTGCTTCAGCAAACGATAGATATGAACACTTGAACTACAGTCAACTTCGCATATAGCGACACTCGGCGGAGCATCAGAAAAGTGTCCTTATGTACCCGAAGTCTCATTATTGTGTATTACAGTTAGCTGGGACTTTGCTCTGGGCATGGAGATTCTGTCATTATTCGCGAATTGTCGTTATATCCGCTGTCGTTATTAGCGAAGTTGACTGTAGCCCATACACTAATATAGTACACTGTACAGTGGAGCCGATTGGATAGAACGACACTCTTTCGGGAGAAAGAAAAATGTCGCTATATTCGATCTGTCACTAAACCCGATCTTCACAATGTCATTTAGTATGCAATATGTATATCAAAATGACAGAAAATTAATGTATTGTAGATATACATGTACATGATTGTACATGTGTATAACAGATGTGTATGGTTGTACAGTCATGTGTCTTGCATGCCTTGTTCAAGGTAAAGTCATCCCACACCGCTGCACTGCGGCTACAACGACTTACGTGCAATGATTATGTAAAGCACACATGAGTGACCCGGAGGTCCGGGCACGTGGCACAGCCATAATATACCATGTTCCAGACATGCCAGTCTGCCTGATACAAGAGGAAAGTCGTTATATCCGATGTATTTTCACTGTTTTTCAGGTCTTCGGGCACCAAAAAAGTGTCAGTAAATTCGATCTGTCGTTATTTTCTAGGTCGTTATACCCGATCTATAATGTACAGAAAGGACTTGCTAAACGACTTGGGCAACAGAATTGTGTCGCTAAACTCGATTTGTCGTTATACCCAAGGTCGTTATATCCAATCTCCACTGTACTGTGTATGCACATGCCCTGGAACTATGTCTGTCCAGTTCCCGCGGCCATTCTGCTGGTGAATTGCAGAGCTGCACTAGGTGATCTTTTCTCCTACGTTGTCTATCGACTTCTCCTATCAGTTTTTAAACTAAACAAACTGTTGACTTCAGAACTAAATATTGCGACAGAGCTTTCGGCCATATTTTCAATTCATTGCATTCCCAAGTCATCACAACCACGCGCTCTTCAGCCGAACCATACAGACACCAGCCAGGACACTTCCGTTGAGAGTTGATATATGTGGAAAGCGCGCACTTGCGCCATTTCTGGTGTATAAGAATGATCATTCCTCCATTATCATCATTATCATCCTCTACTGATGAGCTCCGACAGGGAGCGAAAAAACTGTTGACTGTGCGCAGAATGTCACTACCAATACAGTGGCATGCAGAATCCGAGGCCGTGGATGACAACTGGTTGTGTTGAGCATACAGATGGTGTACGATATGTTACGTTGGTGGGATTATGATAGTACTAGTAGTTTCCGAGGCCATGGATGACAACCGGTTGTGTTGAGCATACAGATGGTGTACGATATGTTACGTTGGTGGGATTATGATAGTACTAGTAGTTTCCGAGGCCGTGGATGACAACTGGTTGTGTTGAGCATACAGATGGTGTACGATATGTTACGTTGGTGGGATTATGATAGCACTAGTAGTTTCAGGCAACGCTTGTGAAAACAGGTCGGGTAGGTCAGCAAACCTGACCCCCATGGCCGTGTCGGTCCCAGGCCTGTTTGTTGTCTTGTGTTCAGGCATTGGATGTTACTTCAAGTACTCTCGCCCTTTGTAGGGGGAAATTCGAATTCTCTGGAGCTTTGTTGACTAGAACCAGGAGATTTAAAAAATGAAATGAAAAAGAAGTCAGCATTATAGGAGCGACTTCATTTGTGACCATGATATTATGTTGGTTTTCCTTTCTCTCATGTTGCAGATCACCTGCCAGAAGTAGAAGGCTATGACGGCTGGTACAACAACTTGGCTCATCCGGAATGGGGTGGTGCTGGTAAGCAGTTGTGCATGACAGCCAACTTCATGGAATGGGCAGCTCACTGTACCCTAACACACTGACCTCATGCATAGAAACCTTTTACAAAGGCATAGTTAGCACGGGGGTATGGGCACAGACTCAGTACTGCACCAAGACTGTAGACACGCATTGCAGTGAGCCTGTGGTGCGCTAATGCTTATTAACGCACACTCCACATACAGGCATGCACACTCCACATACAGGCATGCACACTCCACATACAGGCATGCACACTCCACATACAGGCATGCACCCGGCTCAGAACACATTGTTTTCTGGTTGGCATATCAGGGATATTGGGCGGAGCAGCTGGCGTGCATGAGAAAGACAGGTCGGCCTGCTCTGCGCAGGAGCTGTGACCCGGTGCACACATAGTGTGTGTGTGAGAGAGAGAGAGACAGACAGGTCGGCCTGCTCTGCGCAGGAGCTGTGACCTGGAGCACACAGAGTGTGAACGAGAGACGGTCGGCCTGCCGTGGGCAGGAGCTGCGACCGGTAGTGATTGAAATGAGCCAGTTGCGGAGATAGACTCCCCTCACCCGATATAAGTATATTGACAAGAGTTGTACTGACACTGTGATTGAGGAAATTATGGTGACAGTGACGGAGAGATCGTGATCCCCAGTCGAATGGGGTTGGGAGGGAAGGGGAAATTGACAACTGACGGACAAACCAGTGAACAGTCAAGTCGTCGGAAAGCAGAAGTGACAAAGGAGTCTCTCTTTTCTCTTTTCTCTCTTTCTCTCTTTCTCTCTCTCTAAAGCAAGATTTGGAAAGCACGCGTGGGAGAGTGGCGCGCGCTGCGCATGCGCATGTATAGCAATGACATCATAATCAGATGCATGATCATCAGACTAAGTATGAGTGGTAGATGTTCCACGTTCGTTAACAGGGCTTAGTGCACACGCTAAACCACCACTAACCCTGCCGTGCAGTGCTGTTGTGTTGTCTAGGCACGGAGTATGTTTTGATGGCAAAGGTCACCGGGCGGTCGATCGTCCTGAGTGCTTTGTTTCACATCGAACGGCCGTGCGCCTATGCCATGCTATGTGTCCTTGTTCAGACATGCCGTTGAGTCGACGCCTGACACCAGTATTTGCCGATGGAACATACCAGCCATCCGGTGCAGGACGTCCCAACCCTCTGGACATAGCCGAAGCCACCATGCGTGGCGCCGTTGGTCAGACATCGTATCGGAACCGAACCGCGCTGTTGACGTTCTTTGGTAAGGCGTGCTTACTGGGCCGTCCAACTAGCTTGGCCACTTTCGCCCACATGTCCTTCGGATGTGATTTGTGAATCAACCGTCGTTTCGGCAATGGGGCTGCCACTAACCTGTACTCCCCATTTCCTGCTACAGTCAGCTATGTGCCTGGTTTGTTTCGCCGGTCGGCTGGACGGACATGTATAATCATTTGGATGCATGTTTGCGCATGCCTGGCGTTTTCGATATAAGGATTTGCATCTAGATGGTCACAATGCATAATGTCTTTCCTGAAGTGACCATTGCAGCTTCACATCATTTATTACACCTCATGGTATGGGATTTCCCCTCGACGTGTATGGTCCTTGGTTAGTTATGGGTGTACATGTATATGTGTTTTTGCTCCTCCACAGGCCAGCAGGTTGTGGAGGAAATTCTGGATGCTCAGAGGCCTGGCTGCCCACCAGAGTATTTCAATATTGCTATCCCAAAGGGCCACAGGCTGTACGATTCTGACGGAGATGGCGGCAAATACATACCTTTCCTGCGATCGCGCTATGACAAAAACACTGGCCAGTCACCAAACAATGTCCGTCAACAGCTGAATGAGATCACGCCGTGGATCGACGGTGGTCTTACATACGGTATCACCAAGGCCTGGGCAGATGCACTTCGTTCTTTCCACCGCGGTCAGCTGAAATGCTTAGGAAATCAGACCTGGGACTGTGCCCTTCCGGACAGAAATGATATTGGCTTGCCAATTGTTAACCCACCACCCCCTGCTGACCATGAGCTCAAGAGTGCACGTCGCTTCTTCCGTGAGTTCTCATAGTTGAATATGAAGTTCTGTCAGCCACGATGTCTCCGCATGGATGTGTAGCGATGTAAGATGTTTGACTTCTTCCACAAGCATGTATTCCACTGGTTTACAGTAAGACCTCGCTTATCCGGTCCTCTTTTATCCGGATCCCTCGCCATCCGCAAGAAAATTGCTGGTTACTGATTTACAAATGGCATGCCGACATGCAGTAGGTGCGTTCGATTATCCGGTTCCCTCGTCTATCCGGATATTTTTTTGTGGAAAACGGATGTGTGCAGCGCGGTCTGACTGTAGTACGATGGTGTTTTGCGCGTGGAAATGAAAGAAAGGGACTGTTGATATTGTGTCGCATTGAGCGTAGCCTGTTGTTGCTGTCCGGTTTCACTCTAAACCAAATGATGTGTGGATGATTTGCAGACTCTGGTTGATGGTGTTTTCTTTGTGTTTAGGTATTGGCAACCCGCGTGGAAATGAGAACCCGATGTTGCTTAGTATGCAAGTGGTCTGGTTCCGTAATCACAACTACATTACCAACCGCCTCTTAAATGTCTTTGAGGGCCTGGGTGTGGAGGTTAATGACGAGATCTTGTACAACCGTGCCCGCCAGTGGAACATTGCCGAGTATCAGGTAGGCAGCACACACCTGTTTACACTGTCCATGGACCATGTATCATCTGATCAGTGTTGCAGTGCGCAGTGTAAACTAAGTTCGGGCAGCAGCGTTCAGTACCCCCTGTACAAGTCATGTACTTCCTCCGTATACAAAAACTTCATGACTTTTTTCAACAGGGTTTTTGAGCAAGAACCTGCTCAACGAACCGCGCCAAAGGCTGTCATCGACAACCTACATTCATGTCGAGGTAAGTTTGGTTGACCCCGAACAGATTCCCCACGGAAGCCATGCGTGTCAGGACGTTGCCGACAGGAACTCACGAGTCCGGTGAGAAAAAACTAGCACCTACTTGCGCAAAACTGACACAGTGACGAAGTGGAGCTCCCGGCTGGAACACGGAGTCACGCGGCACCCGCTGCCCTGAAGCTGGCCAAGCTCTGTACTTACGGTGCGCGGCCTCATATGCAGCGTGAGAACATAAAGCTGTTTCGCTCGCACGGCAAGATGAAACATTTCAGTCGTCGTGCAACCAGCGCAGGCTCCGGATCGGACTGTCGACGACCTGGCTTTCTTCGCCTCTTTCCAGTCAGACGTCTCCTTTGTCGCCAAAGGGAATCGCAGGGACCTCCTCGAAGCCGTTGTAGAATGCTGGGAGGTGTATCCTGCCGAGAAAATGCGAAGCGTGTGGATGTGTTTCACGGCACAATCTGATAATGGAGGTAGCGGGTTGGAATGACTGAATAGTCGACACCGATTCGTACGCAGCTCTGGAGATGAGGACGTAGCCAGAGTCTCGCGTCGGATCATCACTGCCGCTGACAAGAAGCTGAACGAAATGCGAGCGGAAGCAGCGACTGTTGGCGATGCGGAGTCAGCGTCGTCAGGTGACAATGACACGAGCGATGAAGACTCTGAATAACCTCAATCTCATTCGTCTGAGTTGCTTTTTTTTCTTTTTATATAGCTTGTAAACAGGTTAGACAATACCACGGGTGTTATTTTAAGTCAAACGGAAAAATTCCAGAGCTATGTGATGCCTTCCAAAAAAGTCATGAAGTGTTTTGTATACGGAGGAAGTAATGTCACTCTGTCACCTGATAACAATAGGAACAAAACAAGAAAAGAAGCAGTGCCCTTGAGCAGGCAAGTGGAGTACTACCATGGTCACTGCCTATTGGCTCAATGAAATCTCCATGCCCTCCCCTGCTCGCTATCTCCCTAGCTGATCTGAATTCAATTAAGCGTAAACAGCAAAAAAAAAAAGAGAACAAAAATAAACTGAAGACAGTAAACGCTAACAACTTGCTTTAGTAAAGTACAATATTTACAACTTGCTTTAGTATCTTACAACAGCTTTCTTTTCTGTATGGCCTGGTTCATTTCTCCAGCACATTGTGTTGGATGAGTGGCTGCCAGCTTTCCTTGGTCAGGACATTCCAAGTTACCCGGGCTACAGTTCCACGACTTTCCCTGGAATCACACACATCTTCCAATCAGCTGCAATGCGCTTTGGCCATACGATTGTCCCACCCATTGCCTACCGCGCTCTGGTCAGGTAAGTGCAACACATGTTAACGTTGTCTGATAGCCTGATCCTATAGCCTAATCATTGTGCATTTTGGGATTATCATTATAGGCGGCATCGAGAAATACCTTGTCAGAATCTGAGTGATAATTTGAGTTGTCAAAGTCTAGGGAGAAGTTCGAAGAAAATGGTTGAAATGAACAGGGGTCAATTCTGACAACCTTGGATCACTGGGGTGCGGCTGACAATCAATTGTAACTTATTACACCAGCAAGCGCACTGAAACCATACAATGGACCGGGGGGGGGGGGGGGGGGGGTACATCTTGTATTTGGGATGCACGTCATAATCGGTGAAATACAATCACAAGGCAAGAAGCCAGTTTGGTTGAACAAGCGGTCACGTGCTCCTGCGTACACCAGTCACCTGGTCACCATGCCTGCAGGGTACAACTTACTAGCCTGTTTGACCTTTTTTGGGTGCAGTCCTGTCACTCGAGTTGAACTCGAGTTGAACCTTGGTGTGAAAGTTGTCGCCTGCTGGCGTGGTGACCAGGTGATTTGGGCACCCAGGAGCACGTGACCGCTTGTTCAACCATGTTCGATTGGGAATAAAGGAGGAACGCTGCATCGCAGCCTTTTCAGACCAAAACCAGTTGACTCAGCGTCCAAAAGACTACAACATATGGGCCAATCGCGGTCATCCGTGCTTTTATAAGAACGAAATGGCGCTTTTAGTGACATTTTGCATACAAATCCCCATCTAGTAGGGCGCAGTCACCCAGTTTCGGTGGAAGTGCGCGAGTTCGATTGGGATTAAAGTAGGAAGGGAGCGTCTCAGCTTCCTCGGACCACGACCATTCGACTCAGCACCCCGAAGACTAAAACTGGTGAAATTTTGATTTTGCCTTAACTTCCACTTTAAAGGGGAAGTCCGGTGAAAACTTTAAATGTCACAGTCCGTAGAGTTCGTGGCGCTGAGTCGAATAGTCTTTGTCCGAGGAGGCTGCGGCCTATGGTCTGTCAGATACGCCCAATCGAACATGTGCGAATTTGAGCGCGCATCACCCAGATCCAGGTGATGACGTCACAGCGTGCAGCCAGATAGCCACACCATCTAGTTGTATACAAAATGGCCATATTCGGAGCTCGTTCGATTGGGGAACCGTTTGTCGCAGCTTCTTCGGACCAAGACCATTCGATTCAGTGTTACAAACACTACCGTATTTTTCGGAGTATAGCGCGCACCTTTGTATAGCGCGCACCTTTGTATAACGCGCACCCCCAATCTTCATTAGGGGTGCGCACTTCAATCTTCATTGAAGTACATGCATTTCATATTCGGAGCATAGTGCGCACCTGCGATTTAGGGCCTAAAATAGCACATCTAAAGTGCGCACTATACTCCGGAAAATACGGTACGTACCCAGTGATTTTCAGCTCGGTAAACCTCGAGGTTATACCGTATTTTAACCGTTTCCGAGTTGGACTTTTTCCGTCGGCATGCACTGGCCTCTACGGCTCTAGCAATGTGCTGGGTGCATGCTAGCTGTAGTGTAGTCAACAGACTCATCACACACGGAACTACTCCCGCACTACCGTGCTGGGGTAGCTACAACAAGACTCGAGTCACAACGCTCAGAAAACTTGTCAACACACGGACTTGTCATGTACTACACTCGTATCAGTCCATGTAGTCAGAGAACATGCGTTTCTCCTTGCCGGTGCCGGTGGTTGTGCTTTGAGAAAGAAAATTTTAGTTTCCGCTCCCGCCTCACTATTTTATGCTACAGCGATGAGTGCACAACCGTGACAAGTCAGTGAAGTGACAAAACACTTGAAAACCGTCAGCGAACAGCTCCCGGACCTAGAACTTTCAGATCTCGTAGCGTTGCGAGCGAAGAGTCGTGCCAGTGGTTCAAAGAGCCTGCACTGTTCTGAGTCCGAAAT